GGCAGTTTGAAATGGCTCACTTCTTGGGTTTGTTCAGTGAAAATTAAAGTTACCAAGAATTAAATACCCTGATTTACACACACACACACACACACACACAATGTAAAGAACACAAAAGGAAAATGACTTCTTGAACAAGAAAGAATAAACTTAGGGCTAACATATGTCACAAATGGGATTTCTGTGTGGTCAAGTTGTTGAAGTTGTTGATAGGTTTCTGAAAATCTAGCATGATATACTGGCACAAAACCAGAATCTAGCCCACTATGCTGGAATCAACAGGTGTTCTGAGAGCAGATGATCTGCTCAGGAAGAGTTTGCAAGAGGTCTTGGTGTTTATTCTGAAGTCAGTCTCTTTAAGGCTCAGTGCCCAGAGCGGCCCCTCTCTGCCTTGCCCTGTGCAGTTGACTTCTCAGCCGAGGTGGTGGTCCCTTGGTTTCTCGGTCCACTTCTGTGAGGCCCTGGCTCTTTCTCCCCTGTTCTGCCTCTGTTCTTGTGGCCCGGACTGGAGCTCTGCCTGTCTCCAGGCGCCCCTTAGTGTGCCTGCTCTCGTGCGTGGGGTCCTCCGTTACCTGGCATACTCATGGACCACACGTCTGGTCACACCCAAGGGCCCCTCCAGGGGTGGATCCCAGGCTGTCTGAGCAGGGGCCCAAGGCCACCGCCGGGTGGCATTCTCTCTTCCTTGTCATAACTGGCCCAGGAAACAAAGCGTTTTGTTATTCTTTGTTGGTTTTTCCCCATTACTAGAAAAACTGAGCCTTAAGAGAGTTGTTTTGCTTTGCCTTTTCTGACTCCTAGTTGTCACTCTGGTTAATGGCTTTTTCTCCATGAGCTGTGATCCTGCTCTGAATAGATGTTTTAAAAGCCCTGACAACTGTGGCTGCCAAGGATCCACTAAGGATCAAGGTTCTACATTAAGTCTTTTTCACCCCAAACTATCTGGAGGCCTTCCAGCTCAGCCCTGGAGGACCTCAGAGGACTCACCATTCACCTTGTAGAGGTGGGGCCCAAGCCTGGCAGGACATGGGGCAGGTGGGCTGTGAGCAGGACCGTGTGCCCATCTACTCCGTGTGTGCATGCTGGGAGGTGTGTTGGTGTGAATGTGCTGAGCTGGTGAAAGGGAGTGGGTCCTGGTGTGACACGGCCAGAGTGGCCGTGCCTGGAGATGCTAGGTGACGAGGAGCCAGCCCCTCGCTCTTGCCCGGATTCCAAGCGCAGCTGCTCTGTCTTGCCCCCAGCTTTGATTCTTCTACAAAAAGCATTTACTGTCAGATTTATGGAAAGGAGTATGACAGGTACACCTGAATACAGGTTTCCATAGCCCTAAGACCACTGGACAGACGGAGTTCCCGGAACTCTGGTGAGGAAGCTGGTGCGAGCCTGTGACACCGTTCCCTAAGCCCAGGGGACCAGCTCAGGAGACCAAGGGGCAGCTGGAATCTGGGATTTTATGTCTAGTGTTTGAAACATTGTTGCTCTTTTCCTGAATGTTACAGTTTCCTAGAGTGGAGGAGATTTTTTTTGAGCTCTCCATGTTGCTGCAAGTTGGTAAACAGACTTCTGTAAACAATGGCAGCAGCATTTACTTTCCCAAATTAAAAACTGTGTTTCTAATGCTTATGGGGATGCAGCTGCATGCAGAGCTTCAGAGCTTCAGAGGGACAGTTCTCCTTACGGTGACCATCCCGGCTGGGAGGGTGAGAGTACACAGCTGTCCACTCCCAGGGCCCCGGAGCCCTGGAGGCAAGGCCCTACCGGCCAGCTCAGTTTCCACCTCCTTTGGCTTTCTGACCTCCGAGGTCTCTAGGCCCAGATTACTGCATGGCAGGGCACTTTTCTCGTTGCATTTATATAGACAAGCGAGCCAAATCTGGTAAGACTGAACTAATTTGAGAATTAAAGAGGTTATCTTTGGTGAGAATCAGTATGAGTATTGGAAAACTCTGTAAGGAAAATCTAAATGCACTTGTTATTAGTTAATCACTCTGCTCACTGCTTCTGTTTTTAAAAATTATCAACCTATGGATCAGACTGGATACTAAATTCTTCCAGCTTTCTCTAATAATATCTGCTACAACTATCAAACCTAGATCAGAGACTGCTCTTTCCTAGGGCCCCAGAGCAGGGTCTGGACCACCTGAGGTGACCAGAAGGGGACAGCATGTGCCTGATATGGCTGCAGAGTCTGACCCCAGCTTGTTGGCGCACAGCCAGACGTGTGGGAACCACAGTGACACTCTCCCCCTTTTCCTTTGGGCCTGTCTTATGCATCTGGTGCCAAGGTGACAGTGACATAGTGACAACCTCATAGCCAACTCTGTGACTCTGACCTAAGAAGCCCTCCGGGCCATCCAATGGGTAACTTGGCAATATCACTTTTCTGTTCAGAATGATATTAGTGTCCTCTTATAAAACATTCTCCTTACCGGGAACGCATCATGTTGGACATTAATGGGTAACCCTGCTGCAGCCTGTCTATTGCTTAAATGATAAAATGTTCCAAGACTCTTACACACAGTGCTCCAGGGAAGCCTCAGGGAAACTGAGATCAGCTCCACAGAATGAGCATAGGCTCTCGCTGCCTCCGGTTTCCCCAGATGCCCATGTGGGTGTCTGACTCGGCATCTTCGAGCCAAGGTCCACAGCTCAGAAGCGTTATGAAAACCAGGGTTATCATATTCCTGTTATTTTGCATATTTCCATGTAAAAAATTGTACCTGCCGTCTTTGCAGAAATACAACTCCCAGCATAATTATGTTGGCCCAGCACTGAGATGGTCCAGCAAGGCCACACCTGGCAACAGCAGGCAGATGGACTCACCAGGACTCTTCTTTATGGCTTCTGTGTTGCTCCAACATGGTTACAGGGTTTCAACCCAGTCTTCCATGTGGGACCTGGCCAACCATCTGAGACAGGTCCATTCAGCACCCAGGGACATGCACAACCTGCCTGCAAGTTAGTTCATCAGCAAAAGCTTTGGAACAACTTTGATCAAAATGGGGGGGCTGTGAATGTTGACCCCAGGATGAAATCATTCCTGGCAGTCCTGGGCAGGATTGGGTCTGGGGAGCAGGAAGGGGGGGGGGGCTCGTGCCTTTTCTCTGAGATGAACACCTTCTTAAAGGCTTTCCAGAGAGATCCCCTCCCATTGCACGCATGCCCCATGACGGCTGCGCCTGGCACTATGTGCAGGGATTTCCATCACATGGCTCTTCTTAGAGCTTTCTGAGGTTCCACAAATCAAACAAGTTGTGGATACCTCCACTACGCTGAGCAGCTGCTGTCTGACTGGGGACCAAGGGACTCCACAGGTAAGCGGCTACACGAATCCTCCCTGTTGGTCTTTAAAAGTCTTTGCCTGGCCTGGACTCCTGGAGTGGGTCCCACTCCGTTCCCCTCTGGTGGTTTCATAGCTGGTGCCATTCCATTCTTACAGCTTGACCTTCTCCTTGTGAAAGCCTTGTCCAGGGGCCGTGGACCATGATGCATGGCTGGATTCTGACAAGTCAGGGGCAATAGAGACCCAGCGTCCTCCTTCTGGGATTGAGCTTTGAGACCCTGTTCAGTCCTAGGCTCTAGGAGTCCTGGGCCTGGCCTAAGACCTGGAGCAGCTTGCCACCTGGTCTTAGGTTCTGTCTCCACATAGGCAGCCCTGGGGTTCGGAGCAGATGAAGCTGGAGACCATGGGCTCAGGCCCTGCACCTCCTGGTAGCCTCCCAGCTCCTGGCACTGTACACTCCTGAGCTAGTGTTTGAGCAGAGCCCCACCAAGCAGCCTGCTCCCTCTACACAGCCACACGTAGGACAGACCACTGGAGAGCAGGGCCACCCCCCACCAGCCTGACCCCTGGAGGTCTGAGACCCTCAGTGGCAGAAGGATGGCCTGGTGGCTCAGGGAGCCATTTTGTCACAGCCTGCTGTCCCCACCCTACCCTACGCTGAGTATAAGGATCTACCTGCATTTGGGAGAGAGGGGAGTGAGGTGAGAAGAGAGGAGGGAGGAGAGGAGCGAAGGATGGAAGGCCGGAAGGACGAGGAAAGAAAGGAAAAGTGAGGGTGAGGGAAGGGAGAGGGAACCAGGATGGAGGGGAAGGTGATCAGGCTCCCAGACATCACATCCTGGTTTTCCTGGTAATTCATGTGCCTGACATTCCACCTGACTCACGGTTGACCCATTTTTTAGAAAGAAAGTGAGGACCAAGGTAATCCTGGGGATTACCAAATCCAGGTCGACAGGTGCTGCTGTTTATAGCAGATAAGAGTAAGAGGATTGCCGCGGCCTGCTCCTTCTCTGGGCCCAGGAGCAGGGTGGCAGCTGCACCTGGGGAGTGGGCAGCCCCACTAGGATTCCCTCTCCCAGGCTCCTCTTCCATTCTGAGCCCTGAACCTCGTCATTCCCCTGCCCGGCCTTGGACCTCATGCATCCCCACCCAGCAGCGTGGTGTTCTATGGGATCAGGTCACTCCTGCTTCTGCCAGGGCTGGGAGAATGGGGCTCCTCTTCCTGCTGGCCTCTGCACCAGCCCTGGCTCTAACCCCTCCAGGGCTGCCACCTCAGCCACTACAGAGCAGGACTCTACACGCCTGCTGGCCAGTGTCCCCACCAAGATTGCACTGAAGTTGCCTCCTGAAAAACCTCAAGGTCTCGTGGTCCACACTCCTACTCCATGCACCAGGGTCCCTGGCTTCAGGACCTGTATGCAGAAACCTTGGTGAGGTTTCAGCCAGACCTGGGTAGCCCTGGGCCTGGCCAACAACTTGAGCTTGAAGGACTTTCCAGGACCTTTGAACTGCATGTGGTGGGAGCTTTCCTGGAGCTCTTTCTACTGAGTGTGCAGGTGGCCAGCTCCTAGGAGGCTAGGCAGGAGACTCAGCACAGTGTGACTGGGCACCAGCGGGGGTAGGAGGTGGGCACAACAAGAACTCCTCTGTGGGGAGCAAGCACTGCCCAGGACAGGAAGCCAGGACCTGCATGGGCACCTGCGGCTGGGGTGCTCACCTGGGTCACGTCCGGCACGTTCACCATCTTCTTGGTCTGAGCCACGTGGCCCACGACTCCGATGTCCAGAGGGAACACAATCTCAGCATCAGGGGGCACCAGGCAGTCCTCTAGGGTGCTGCCCGGCTGCACGCTGAAGAGCCGCGTGGCGAGCTCAGCCATGCTGTTGCGCTGGCGGTACATGAAGAGGCTGCAGCGGTCAGCCTGCAGGATAGTGCAGAGATGCTGCAGGAGTGTGAAGACCACACGCTCCATGCTGACGTTCTCTTGCATGTCCTGCACCAGCGCAAACAGCGCGGCGCTCTCCTCCACCTGGCACAGCTCTCGGAGACTGCTGCAGTCCACCAGGCACCCGTCCTCACAGGCCCCAGGCACATGCCCAGGGCTCAGCTGCTTCTCGAAGTACTGGTGGGCAAAGTCAGGGTTCCCGTCCAGGAAGCTGCGCACCTGCTCCTCACTGAGGCTCATGGTGTCTGCGGCTGTGCGCCACTGCGGGGTTTGCATGGACTCTGCAAATACCTTCGTCAGCAAAGTCTTTCTTAATGATGATTAGGGAGCCGGGGGGAACAGCTGACTCACATCCACAGAGGGGGCTGCCCCCATCACCCTCAGACCCAGAGTCGTCCCTCCTTTCCTGAGAAAATTGGTCCTCCGGAATAGGGGCTGGGGTGCCCGGGGGCTCCTGCCTGTTTCAGGGGCCATGGGCAACTGGGGGCAGGCATGTGGCTTCTGGTGGAACAGGCCCTGAGCTCTGACCCCTAGGAGATAATCCCAGGAACACCAGGACTCCTGCTTCGGGAGCCCTTGGGGATTTGGTTGGTCTGACAGGCCATCTTGGGTCCTCCGGAGGTCCTGGCCTGGGCTCAGATTTGCTGGGAGGCAGAGGGCACTGGCTCTGCCTCCAGGAGGTGCAGACTACTCTCGAAAGGGAGAGGGAGGTTGGGGTAGCCATATTTGGGGGAAGGTATTGGCCAGGGGTAGGGGTGGGACAGATGTGGGGCTCCAGGCAGACAATCCCCAGCACCTGACACATTGTGTCTGTGTCTCAGATGGAGTCCAGTTGCCCAGACAGCAGCTGGATAAGGGCTTCAACAATTTGCTCCTGGTGTCCTGCAGATATTAACTTCTGTGTGAGTCATGACAAGAAAGTTTGGGTAAGAACTAAGGACAGAGCTGCTCTGCCTGGCTCTCTTGCAGCAAGCAAGCCCTTTTCACGCAAAACAAAGGAGACTTTGATGCTGGGCTTGTTTTGCATGAGGGTGCAGGCATGGGTGCGGGCATTGGATTGGGGTGCATGCCTGGGGGTGTGTACATGTATCCAAACACATGAGCTGGGGGCAGGAGCAGCTCTGGGATGTAGACAGCCCAGAGCACCTAGCCCTGTTTCTGGAGGTGCAAGCAGATATTTTCATTGACAGGATTTCTGGATACTCTCCTAGACAAGAACCAGGAATCACAGCCCTGAGTCTCCAGCCCGGCAGCAACCTGGGATGTCTTTGCATCATCCTCATCTACTTCTTCTATGTGCTACTGTACTTTCAACGAAGACACTTGTGGTTCTCACACCCTGTGCACTGTTGGTGAAGACTGAGTGTACGGCATGTGCCTTTAGCATCTTCTCAGCACAGGATTCTGCTCTGGAAAGCTTCTCCAGGCGCTATGCTGGCCCTGTGGCTGCCTCACGCTGGGAAAACTAATCTGATGCACAGCTGCCTGTCCACAATGGGCCCAGCTGGCTGTGCTGCCTTCCCAGGGCTGCGAAGTCCCTGCCTCCACCTAGTCACGTGGCTGCTTCATTTGGGGTATTTGCTGGGAGGTCTCCCCTCTTTCCTAAGAATAGTGAGTTTGGGTTGGGACTGGGGAAGTGGGGTGTGGGATAAGGTGGTACTGTGGGCAGGGCTGCAGGGCTAGGGCTGGGGCCGCGGCTGTGGGTTGTCTGCTTTGCATTCAGTCTGCTAACTACTTAGAGCTGTTCAGGGCTTTGGCCTCCGGCTCTCAGTGCTGGAGCCCAAGCAGCCCCCATGCAAAGGAGACACAGCAGACCCAGGGGCCAGGCTTTAGGAAGGTGCTCCTGCACCTCAGCTCCGGGTTTCTCAGTTCACCTACTCTTGCCCACTATCCCAACTCAGCTTCACCCCAGGTCCTCAGGACCCCTGTGTGATTCTGTGCCCCCCAAATGCACCCCCTTGCTCTGCTCATTGCTGTGCTATCTCTCCTCGGCCCACACTTGCCCTGTCCTGCAAGAATGGAGCTCACCTGCCCGTGGAATGGGCTCAGTCTGCAGTGAGTGACTGCAGATGGTTGAGGGCAAGCTCGCAGCACGGCCTCAGCCTCACTAGGGGCTCTGCAGGCTCCTCACCATAACTGCTGGGCCCTGCCAGCCTCCACCTGTGGCATCTGCTCTGCTCTGTCTGCCCTAGAGCCACAGAGCTCTCAGGTATGCAGGTCCAGAGTGCCAGGGAAGCCACAGCCCTGGGAGGGCCCCAGCCTCTGGCCACAGAGTCATGGTGAATGTCCAGCCTCCCTGCCTGCAGGCTCTAAGGTGCTGCCTGGGACACACCACTCACTCTGCTCCTTCCCACCTCACTCCCCACACACCTGTGGTGACACCCAGTCCCTGACTGGGGTGGCTGTGATGAAGTCAGAAAGAAACACTTGTGAGGCACATCTGTGATGCATGCCCATGAGATGCCTGTGAGACACACCTGTGAGACACACATGTGAGGTAGCCTGTGAGACACGCTTCTAAGACACATGTGAGTCATGCCTGTAAGTTATGTCTGAGACGTGCCTGTGAGGCACACCTGCATGACATGCCTGTGGGACACGCCTGTGAGGCACACCTGTGAGGCACACCTGTGAGACACACCTGTGAAACACGCCTGTGAGACATACCTGTGAGGCATACCTGTGAGACACACCTGTGAGACATGCCTGTGAGACACACCTGTGAGGCATACCTGTGAGATACACCTGTGAGACACACCTGTGAGACATGCCTGTGAGACATGCCTGTGAGAGATGCCTGTGAGACACACCTGTGTGACACGCCCCAAGGCTGATCTGGCTGCTTGTGCCACACTGCAGAGGGACCTGTGTGTACCAGGAGCAGTGTGTCTGAGAACAAACCTGGCCGGCCGGGGGGAGGCCAGGAGGTAGGAGGGGAACCTGAGCTTGCCCTTGGGTTCCAGCACATCTGTGGGCAGAGGAGGGGCAGTGCCACAGGGTCTGGCGCCAGGGCAGGACGAGCAGGCGGAGGCCCTGTGGAGCAAGGAGGGGTGGCCCTGGCCCCAGCCTGCCCACTGGCACGGCTTTGGCTCTGTCTGGCGAAGGAGGCCCCTGCAGAGCCACTTCCCAGTGTGAAGCGCAGGTGTGGTGGGCAGTGGGGTTGGCACACCCTGGAGAGCACAGCACTGGCCAGAGGGGCTCACTGATAGGAGGCTGGGGTGCACGGTCAGACCCAGGGGAGGAGCCACGGTGTCACAGTGTGCAGACCCTGAGCCCCAAACCTGACCTCACGGTGCTTGCCAGGGACATGGAAAGCCAGCCCTCTGAGCAGTGGTGGTGGTATGAGTTTTCTCCTCACCCGGACTGTGATGAGCCAGGTGATTACCCACTGGCCCAGGACATACAGTGTGGGCGACGCAGAGCAGGGGCAGAGCTTGTTCCCTGATGGCCGGGGTCCCTATCCACATGACAGCACTTGTGCTGCCCCCAAGGGCAACTTGGGGCAGGCCAGCCTGTGCCAGCAGGCAGACAGATGCTCCCCAGGCCAGTCCCTGCACTTTTTCAAAGGGTCATGGGGCTCCTTGATCTCCCAGGGGAAAACCTCTGTCCATTTGTTTCCTTTTAGGCTCTGGGGCACAGTGTTGGAACTCCTTGCCTCATCCACAGAAGATCTGGTCAATGGCCTCACAGGGCCTATCATCCATCAGGGCGAAAGTCCTCTGCAAAACCCTCACTGTACCCTCGGCCCAGAGAGACATGAGATGCCCCTGGCAGTCATTCCTGAGGGTTGGCCTGCTCCATGGCCATTGGAGCCCTCGGAAGCCTTAGGAGGGTGGGGTGGGTCATGGGTAGCACCCCTCGGGGTAGATGACCCTCAAATGTGCAGCCCATGTGGCTTAGACCTGGCCACAGTGCGGAGGTTTGTGCCAGGAGGTGGGATGGAGTCTTGTGCCTGACAAGCAGACTGCTGCTGACCCTCAGGTCCAGGACCAGCAGAGAGCCTCTGCTTTGTGACCTTGTGGGTTTGTCTCAGTTTTTCACAGTGGCCTGTGTGGGCTCAGGCTTGGTGCTGGGCAAGCAGCTGTGGGTGTGAATGAGCTGTGGTGCTTGCCCGGATGTGCCATCTGGCCATCACGTAGACTGTGTGCACAGTATCTGTGAGACCTGGAGAGAGGTGTGACTGCAGCATTGCCTCTGCTTTTCTCAGCTGAAAGAGAAGAGAGGGTCCCCTCTGTTTTAAGCCAGCTTTTTGGCACTGTGACAAAAAGATCTGACAAGAACAGTCAGAGGAGGAAAAGTTTACTTGGGGCTGATGGTTTCAGAGGCTCAGTCCATAGATGCCAATTCCATTGCTCTGGGCCCAGGTGAGGCAGAACGTCACGGTGGGAGGAGGTAAGGAGGAAAGCAGCTCAGGTCAAGGCACCAAGGAGCAGAGATATATAGAGAGAAGCTCGGCTCGCCAAGAACAAAATGTGAACCCCAAAGGCACACACCTCCAGGTGCCCTCTTCCTCTGGCCATACCTGCCGGCCCACAGTTTCCACCCAGTCCTCCATATCAGGGATGAATGTACTGATTAGGTTAAAACTCTCGTAACCCAGTCATTTCACCTCTCCACTTTCTTGCATGGTCTCTCACACATGCTTTTCTGGGGCACTTCAGATCTAACTCATAACTCCCTTCTTATTTGGACAGTCTCTACCTCATCAGAAATGAGAAGAGGGCCTGTGAGAGAATCCCATTAGCCAATGCTAAGAGGGGACAGGCCAGAATCGGGAAGCCCGGAGCCAACACAATGTGATGAGAAAGTCAGAAAAGCACCACTGATATGAAATGTGGGACTCGCACGGTGACGTCATGGGTCCTGGCAAAGCAGCAGAGGAAGGAGTGTGGGCAGGAGTCCTGACCAGGGCTGAGCTGCAGCGAGGCGAGGACAGGGGGGGCCCAGGGTGCAGCTACGTCTGAGCAGCAGCTGGGAGAGCACCACAGGACAGCCCTGGGAGGGGGCTGGGGCCACAGCAGGCACATGGGAGTGTCCTGTGGAGGGTCCAGTGGGACAGGGGCAGCCAGTGGAGAGGGGGCAGGGGAGGACGGAGCTGAGGGAGCACAAGGGTGCAGGGGTGGAGGGGCAGCTGATGTGGGCTTCTGGAGTTTGGTAGTCAAGCACTCCTGAGAGCCCTGGCTGGGGCTGTGGACGAGGCTGCTGCTGACTCAACTTCCCATCTCAGGACCATGCTCCTGCTCTCACTGACCC